GCGGCAGCTGGAACACAGCTAAGCGCAGACACCCCGTCTGGACCCGCTTCACCACCACGCGCCGAACAGGGCAGCCTGGATCACAGCTAAGCGCAGACACCCCGTCTGACCCGCTTCACCACCACGCCGACGGGAGTGGAACACAGCTAAGCGCAGACACCCGTCTGGACCCCGCTTCACCACCACGCACGACACGCGGCAGCCTGGATCACACGTAAGCGCAAGCACCCCGTGCTGGACGCCCGCCTTCACCGGCAAGGGCAGGGGCAGTAGTGGGGGCCGCCGCTGCCTGAGGAACCTGCATGGCTTGGGTTTCCAGGATGAGGGACGGGGCAGAAGAGATTCCTTGAACCAGAAGAAACTTAGAAATGAGCAGGTCCCAGCCCACTAGTTTTGCATAAGGAGAGACGGAGGCCTGGGAAAGCCAGTCAGTCACAAGCAGACCTTCTGCGGTTATAAAATCTTTCTAATGTGCACCCAGTGGGGCCCACAGGTGGCTGCAGAAACAGGCGGCGGCCGGGACCTGGCTTGAGGCCAGAAGACGGGACCCTCTCTGGGGTGCTGATGAGCCCAGAGGCCCCGCAGGTGAGTCACGGACGGTGGGGCAGCGAAGTCCCAGACGCCCTTCCCTGCCCCAACACCTGGTCTGATTCTCTGCCCTTGACCGCGAATGGGGCCACGGAGTGGAAGGTTCACGGTTCCCGACCGGACTCGCTGCAGAAGGCTCTGCCTTGGCACAGCGGAGAGGCAGGGCTGAGGGCCGCGAGGCCTGAGCGGGGACGCAGGGCTCGCCCCAGCCAGCACCAGGGAGGGGTTCTCCTGGCCCCCCAAGGAGCCGGGGAGAGCACCCACCTCAGACGCCCACCGCCCGCTGACACTTCCACCCTGCCCGAGAGAGCCTGAGCAGAGAAATGGCAGCACCACACCCAGACGCCTGCCAGACACGGCCGCGAGCTGATAAGTGGGTGGGAATCTGCACACACGACAGAGACTGATAGGGGTGGCTTTCACTAGAACAGGGGAGGCAGAACCCAGACTTATTTTTCAGAACTTTTTCTAAATACTTCAACCAGACCCAACAGACAGACATTATTTCCCTTTAATTCACATCAGCAATTTAAATGGGAACAATTTCACTTAAAAATCTATTGAGTCACAAAACAAATTTAAGCTTTTTGTTCTACAAATGAAAGAGAACTTAAAAAACTGTTTGTTTTTAATATTGAGGATACTCATTAGTTCTTTACCCTATTAGCGTTCAGTTTTAAAAGACTTAGAAAGACATAAAACTTCACAAGCCAAAAAAAGGATATTCTCTGAACTGGAGGATCTGGGCCTGGACGTGGTCCTCGCAGACCTGGCGCAGCTGCTTGTAGAGCGTCGGGGAGACTCTGTGAGAACAGAGGTTTTCCACAGCCTAAAACAGGAGGAACAGCACACTGTGAAAAAGGGACGTGGAGTGACAAGCATACTGGGTTGGTGCAAAAATGCAGTTTAGCATTGTTGAAATTTGCCGTTTGGTATTGGAATACATGCTTAAATAAATGTGGTTACGGCGTACATCATTTTAATGTGCATTTCTTGCTTTATGTTTTTGTGTTAATGACTTATTATTTGATATTCATTTTAAGCTATGGAAGTGATGTTAGACAAAAAGCAAATCTGAGCAATTGTCTTATTTGAGTTCAAAATGGGTCATAAAGCAGCGGACACAACTCGCAACATCAACAACGCATTTGGCCCAGGAACTGCTAACGAACGCGCAGTGCAGTGGTGGCTCAAGAAGTTTTGCAAAGACGAGAGCCTTGAAGATGAGGAGCACAGTGGCTGGTCACTGGAAGTTGACAATGACTAACTGAGAGCAGTCATCGCAGCTGATCCTCTTACAACTACACGAGAAGTTGCTGAAGAACTCAACGTCGACCATTCTACGGTTGTTCAGCAATTGAAGCAAATTGGAAAGGTGAAGAAAAAGCTCGATAAGTGGGTATCTCATGAGCTGACCAAAAATCACACACACACACCAAAAAAAAAAAAAAAAAAGGTTGTTTTGAAGTGTCGTCTTCTCTTCTTATATGCAATAACAACGAACCACTTCTCAATTGGACTGTGATGTACGACAAAAAGTGGATTTCATACAACCACCAGCAACAACCAGCTCAGTGTCTGGAACCAGAAAAGCTCCAAAGCACTTCCCAAAGCCAAACTTGCACCACAAAAAGCCCACGGTGACTGTTTGATGGTCTGCTTGCTGCCGGTCTGATCCACTATAGCTTTCTGAATCCTGGCGAAATCATTAAATCTGAGAAGTCTGCTCAGCAAATCAATGAAATGCACCAAAAACTGCAATGCCTGCAGCCAGCACTGGTCAACAGAAAAGGCGAATTCTTCTCCAGGACAACGCCCTACCGCACGTCGCACAACCAATGCTTCAAAGTTGAACGAATTGGGCTGCGACCTTTTGCCTCGTTCGCCACATTCACCTGACCTCTCGCCAACTAACCACCACTTCCTTCAAGCATCCTGATGATTTTCTGCAGGTAAAACACTTCTACAACCAGCAAGATGCAGAAAATGCCATCCAAGAGTTCTTCGAATCCCAAAGCACAGATTTATACACTACAGAAATAAACAAACTTATTTCTCATTGACAAAAGCGTGTTGATTGTAAAGTGTTGATGGTTCCTATTTTGATTAAAAAGATGTGATTGAACCTAGTTATAAATTCAGGTCCAAAACCAGAACTACTGGCTGGGAGCGGTGGTTCACGCCTGTAATCCTAGCACTCTGGGAGGCTGAGGCGGGTGGATGGCTCAAGGTCAGGAGTTCGAAACCAGCCTCTTCAACAGGAGACCCTGTCTCTACTAAAAATAAAAAGAAATTAATTGGCCGACTACACATATATAGAAAAAATTAGCCTGGCATGGTGGTGGCATGCCTGTAGTCCCAGCTACTCCGGAGGCTGAGGCAGGAGGATCGCTTAAGTCCAGGAGTTTGAGGTTGCTGTGAGCTAGGCAGACACCACGGCACTCTAGCCAGGGCAACAAGAGTGAGACTCTGTCTCAAAAAAAAACAAAACAAAACCAAACCAGAACTACTTTTGCACCAGCCTAGTAACAATTATAATCCTGTTTTCTAGCATGTGTATCACCAAGATAATAACAAGAACATGCAAACCTGTGCCACACTTTGTCTTACTACAGAATAAGGAATTCCTAAATACAGTCAATGCCATCGGTTCAGATTCCAGGGAGACCTCACATCCTTCTCTCTTCAAACACCCAGGAAAACCTCATAACAAAGGCTTTGCTCCAGTGGTTAACCATTAATGAATCCCACAAACATAATTATTACAAAGTAAGTTTTTTTTACACAACGTGAAGAAAATGTATTTTCTTTGGCAAAAATCAAGATAAGCTTAGTGGTACACATCCTTCCTAAAGCAGTACCTTATTAAGATCATTTTCTGAATGCTTTAATTCCTACACCCAGAATCACTGTCCTTAAAATAATCTTTCCCCAGCTGTGACATACCACACCTCTGTGTGTCTGTGTTTTAGTCCTACTTGTCGGCTTAATGAGAAGACAACTGAAAACTGAAGTTGAATCTTACAACCAACTCTTTCTCCTACGTATCCTGTTTGGCACACACTATTTACATGAAGCAAGCTGAGATTTATTTGGTGGTTTTTTTTTT